AAAACTCTATACTCAAATCGTAACCAAATGCATAACAAAAAAATTAAAATATTTAAAAATATATTTACAAACTACAAACAAAGACATAAGAATTTTCCCATCTGACCTATTACTCAAAACTCAATTCAAAAATTATTTTTGAAACTCAAAACCAAATACTCAATTCAAATATCTTTTCAAAACTTAAAACCAAACTATTTTCAAAACTCTATTTTTTTTTTAAATCAAAAAATATTTTTTTATTTTATATTTTAAAATTATTTTTAGAATCATGATTTAAGTGTGGAGTCGTATTTTGAGTTATGAGTTTTGAAAAAAAAAAATTGTTTGGTTATAAATTTTGAAATTTTTTGAATTTATTTTTTTAGGATATATATTTATATTTTAAATATTTATTTATTTATTTTAATGTGCATTATATTTCATACATCTATGTGTTGTATTTTTTTTTAATATTTTAAATATATTTTTTAAATATTAAAAAATTTTAAAATTTTTATTTTTATTTTAAATATATAGTTTTTATTTTAAATATTTTATTTTATTTTATAAATATATTTTTAAGTATTTTATTTTTTTGTTATGCGTTTGGTTACGATTTGAATGTAGAGTTTTGAAAGTAGTGTGGAGTGTTGAGTTATGTGTTTGGTTATGAGGTTTGAAAATAATTTTTGAATTGAGTTTTGAGTTATGTGTTTGGTTACGATTTGAGTGTGAAATTGTGTTTTGAGTTTAAAATATTAAAATTGAAAAATTAAAATATTTACAAAATAAAATAAAATATTTAAATAAAAATTATATATTTAAAATAAAAAATAATTTTTTTTAAAACATTTTTTTAATATTTTTAAAAAATAAATCTAAAAATACTGTTCCAAACACTCTAAACTTATCCTCCAATCCAAAAACATTTTTTAATATTTTTAAAGGGAAGGGCAATAAAGTAATTTCTGAAGGAAAAAGTGACACCGTTTAGTGATTTTTGACAGCATGGGGGAATCTTGATATTGTCAGGTAAAGTAGGGGAAGTTACTGTAATTATTCAAACCACAGGGGAGGTCCCTGTATTTGTCAGAAACCTCAGGGGAGGTAAATGTAATTTACCCTATTTTTTATTTTTGTATTTTTGATATTTAGTGAATTTTTTTAAGATTTGTTTAAAAAATATTATACTTATTTATGTTAGGTATATATAAAAATTTAAAAAAATTGCTTAAAATATTAAAAAAATTCAGCGAAAACAAAAAAAATACAAAAAAGAAAAAACTCAATTTTTAAAAAGTGGATTCAAAATTTTAGAACCAAACAAGGTGATTATTTTTTTTGTTGTAAATACCATGGTCATATAACAAATGTCTATTTTGTTAATAAACAAATCATTAAGTTAATTAAATTTTAATTATATGGGAAATAGCTTTTAATGAATGATTTTGATAATTTTATTGTTACATAGAAATAGAAAAGTAGTTAGATTTTTTTTAATTATTCTGTTTAATTAAAAACTTTAATAAATGGTAGTTGTAATTTCTAGTATTATAAGAGCGATTCATATTTTAAACAAATTTTAGGAGTGTATTTGTAATTTAATTAAAAATAAAATATTTATGCTTCATAACTGACTAAGATTTTTTTTTGTATAATTATGATAAAACTTTCATCTAAATTACAACCACCAATAGTGGTAATATTACCAAACAAAGGGCAAAGTGGGAAAATTAAAATACAAGCTACCACGAGTTAGGGAGCTTCTATTTACACATCCCAATCCCCTCTTTATACACATTTAATAAAAATTATTTTTATTATAATTTTATTTTCAAGTGAAATTATTATTATGGACATTAAATAAACTCATTCGGAAGTTGAATGTCGAAAAAATAAAAAAAATTCGGAACTTTACTTCCAAACCAATCGTTTATTTTCGAAAATCTACTTCCGAACAAATTATTTATTGGAAAAGATGTGTAAAGAGAGGAATAAGTGTGTGTAAATAGAAGCTGCCCTGAGTAAATAATATAAAGTGAAAGGGCAAATGGGGAGACTGAAAAAACCCACGCTAAACATATTTTGCCTCTTATTAGTATAGAGTATTTGAGATTATTATTAAAATAGTATAATATGCACCGTTATTTATAAGAAAAATCGCAATACAGTTGTGCTTTCTTAAAATTATTACATACTCATGTAAAAGTTTATAACATTATTTATCAAAGTTAATAAAGTTTACCCTCCATCTAAAATTTCAATAAAACAAATAATCATGATAAAGACCACAAGAGAGAGACAAAATAAACCATGAGACAGGGGCAACAATGGTCCTGTTTGGTGTACTTGTTAAAACAGATTATAAATTATAACTTAACAGATTATAGATTATAACTTTAATTAGAAGCTGTTAATCTGTTTGGTGTAACTGTTGGATTATAGATTTAAGTTGATGAGTAATGTTCGTTAAATAAGCTGTGAAGTAACTTTTTCAATTAACTTTTATTTTTTGGTATTCACTATTTGTCTACATTTCTCATAAAAAATAATAATAATATTTTATCGTCTATTTGGGTCTTTTTTTATTTTTAAAAAAATAAAAAATAAAAAAATTTAAGAGTATAACCGTGAATTAACAAGTCCACAGCAGAAGCTAATAATCAGAAATAAGGGATGAGTAACTTATCAAAATCAACTTTTTTGACTTAAAATAAGTTGTTAGAATTAGAAACTGTTTGAAATAAGTTTAACTAAACAGTCCAAAATAACTTTTCAAAAATCAAAAGTTAGAAGTTGCCTTAAAAAAATCCAAACAAACACTCCCAATAGATGAAAGTGGTAAAAAAACAGAATCAGGATCCTCTCCTTGCAGCCTTCGTCCTTGCGCCCGTCCTTGCAGGCCTTCGGGTATACTTTTAGACCTAATTTTGATAATCCGAACCGTTCATATTTTATGATTTATTCAATATATCATACCTGTAAAAAATCAAGTTGATTGAATATCAGAAAGTATGTGTTCGAAAAATTGAACTAAAAATTATTTTTTAAATAATTTAATAAACAATTTTTCGAACATATACAAGGACGGGCGCAAGAACAAAGCTGCAAGGAGAGACTCTTGAGTCAAAAAAACAACCCATGGCACAGTTTTTGAAACCAAAGCGTTTTTATTATTATTATTAGGGCAAATTACATATACCCCCTCGAGGTTTGGCTAAATTACAGATACCCCCTGAGGTTTGATAAATTACGAATTCCCCCCTGAATGCTATATTTGTATAAGAAATTAGGGGGTAATTTGCTATGAAATATAAACCTCAAGGGGCAAATTGTTATGAAAATACAAACCTCAGGGGGCGGGATGTAATTTCCGAAACCTCAGAGGGGTATCTGTAATTTAGCCAAACCTCGAGGGGTATATGTAATTTGCCCTATTATTATTATTATATAAATGTTATAATATAAATAAAATGGTAAAAATGTAATTATTCTAAAAAAATTGAGGCAAAATGAAATAGAAAAGGTCGCCCAACTTTTTAACTGGTAAAGTTACGTAACAGCCTAATATATAGACGTCGGCCAATCACTCAGGCACTCAGGCGAATCAAATGAGATGGTCAAAAAAAAATGAGCCTAACAAAGCCAACCCATAGTAAAACCAAAGGGCTTCTTTCATTTGAAAAAAAAGAAAAAGAAAAAAAAAGGGCTTCTTTTATATATATAGATATTAAAAAAAAATCTGTGCAAGGCACGGGTTAATAAAATAAAAAGATTTGTATGAGAATATGTAAATTAATTAGATTATTTAACTTGATTATTTATGTACTATGTAAATTAATTAGATTATTTAACTTGATTATTTATGTACTATCTTTTATGAGAGGTATAAACGATTCAATTTTTTTTTATAAATTTTAGGCATTAAAATTTAAATGAAACATTTTTATATATTTTATACATCTTAATGTTTTAATTTAAAACTTGTTTTTATCGCTTTGTGTGCAATACTAATAATTAAATTTTTTGACATTCAAGTTTGTTAATATATTATTTTGATTTTTCTTTGTTGTTGACGTGGCATTCTATAAAATTAATAGTATTTGGATAAATAGCTAAAATAAAGAGCATGGTTGGAGTAAAAACATGAAATAGTTGATAGGCAAAGTAAAATATATACTTTATAGTAATATTTAGATAGGTAAAATGCCTACTACCTTTGGAGATGCTCTAAATTAATTAGATTATTTAACTTGATTATTTATGTACTGTTAAATTTGATGTATGGAAAATTAGAGAGAATGAAATATGTATTGATGATTGATATTATTGATTGATGAATTGATGTTGATATATTACAACTCCTATATAACTCCTATATATAGAAGAGAAGATGGTAGTGGAGTGTGTGATAGTGGAGGTGGATGGTAGTGGAATGTGTGATAGTGGAGGTGGATGGTAGTGGAGTGTGTGATAGTGGAGGTGGTAGGTGTGGAGAAAGATAGTGGAGGTGGTAGGTGTGGAGAAATTCTAACAGCCCCCCGCAAACTCAAGGAGGATAGAAACTAACCAACTTGAGTTTGGAGAGAGGAACAAAACAAGAAAATACATAAAAAATAAAAAAAGATAGGAGACACTGTATGGTCGTGTCAGACCGTTGGTGAAGACACTGAAAGGTGGTGTCATAACGTGGTAGAGGACACTGGATGATGTGCCATAACGTTGTAGAGGACACTGGATGACGGTGCCATAACGGTGTAGAGGACACTGAAGGGGGTGTCATAACGGTGTAGAGGACACTGTATGGTGGTGTTATAACGGTGTAGAGGACACTGTAGGCTAACCGGAATCAATGTCGGGACAGTTTATAGGGTCATGTCGGACCGTTGAAGATGCTAATCGGAATCAAATGTCGGGACAGTTTATAGGGTCATGTCGGACCGTTGTAGAAGGTGCACCCTCAAAAGGCGTGCCCAATTTTATCAAAAGGCGTGCCATCAAAAGGCGTGCCCACTTTATCAAAAGATGTGCCATGAAACCAAAATTCCATCCTGTTCTTGACGGAAATAGTTTGCAGCCCCCCTAGGCATAAAACCTCCCAAAATTCCATCCTGTTCTTGACGGAAATAGTTTGCAGCCCCCCTAGGCATAAAACCTCCCAAAATTCCATCCTGTTCTTGACGGAAATAGTTTGCAGCCCCCCTAGGCATAAAACCTCCCAAAATTCCATCCTGTTCTTGACGGAAATAGTTTGCAGCCCCCCTAGGCATAAAACCTCCCAAAATTCCATCCTGTTCTTGACGGAAATAGTTTGCAGCCCCCCTAGGCATAAAACCTCCCAAAATTCCATCCTGTTCTTGACGGAAATAGTTTGCAGCCCCCCTAGGCATAAAACCTCCCAAAATTCCATCCTGTTCTTGACGGAAATAGTTTGCAGCCCCCCTAGGCATAAAACCTCCCAAAATTCCATCCTGTTCTTGACGGAAATAGTTTGCAGCCCCCCTAGGCATAAAACCTCCCAAAATTCCATCCTGTTCTTGACGGAAATAGTTTGCAGCCCCCCTAGGCATAAAACCTCCCAAAATTCCATCCTGTTCTTGACGGAAATAGTTTGCAGCCCCCCTAGGCATAAAACCTCCCAAAATTCCATCCTGTTCTTGACGGAAATAGTTTGCAGCCCCCCTAGGCATAAAACCTCCCAAAATTCCATCCTGTTCTTGACGGAAATAGTTTGCAGCCCCCCTAGGCATAAAACCTCCCAAAATTCCATCCTGTTCTTGACGGAAATAGTTTGCAGCCCCCCTAGGCATAAAACCTCCCAAAATTCCATCCTGTTCTTGACGGAAATAGTTTGCAGCCCCCCTAGGCATAAAACCTCCCAAAATTCCATCCTGTTCTTGACGGAAATAGTTTGCAGCCCCCCTAGGCATAAAACCTCCCAAAATTCCATCCTGTTCTTGACGGAAATAGTTTGCAGCCCCCCTAGGCATAAAACCTCCCAAAATTCCATCCTGTTCTTGACGGAAATAGTTTGCAGCCCCCCTAGGCATAAAACCTCCCAAAATTCCATCCTGTTCTTGACGGAAATAGTTTGCAGCCCCCCTAGGCATAAAACCTCCCAAAATTCCATCCTGTTCTTGACGGAAATAGTTTGCAGCCCCCCTAGGCATAAAACCTCCCAAAATTCCATCCTGTTCTTGACGGAAATAGTTTGCAGCCCCCCTAGGCATAAAACCTCCCAAAATTCCATCCTGTTCTTGACGGAAATAGTTTGCAGCCCCCCTAGGCATAAAACCTCCCAAAATTCCATCCTGTTCTTGACGGAAATAGTTTGCAGCCCCCCTAGGCATAAAACCTCCCAAAATTCCATCCTGTTCTTGACGGAAATAGTTTGCATCTGGAGCAGGAGGAGGAGCTGTTTCGGGCCTCTGGCCTGCAGGGCGATGAGGAATGTCCTCGCCAGGAATTGATCTGAATCTCGGGTCTGAACTGGTTTTGCCCCTTCCATATATTGGAACCAACTTCTCTTCCTCTAAAAAATGTGAGTGAATATGCAGCCACCTATAAAGACAGGGCCAACAGTACAGGTGGCCACAGAGAGTCACTATTGGGTCTTCAGTGAATTCAAAGCATATATTACATTCAAAATCACCCATTTCATTGCTAGTATTGCCTGAACACGAAGGGCCAGTTGATTGGCCAAAAACACTATTCATACCCAAACCCTAAAACCTGAAGCACCTGGGCTGTAAAATTGGGAAGACAGGGGTGGTAGATGAAGACGACCGAGACGGTGGTGTATGGGAGGACAACAGTGAGAGGAGAGGCAGTGGTGGTGGACTCGAATAAATTTCAAGGTATGTGTAGAAAATTCGAACGGACTAGGTTGAGGTCCGGCGGGCGGCTAAGGTGAGGTTGTCGCCCGCCGGGAAGCGAAAATATTAGGTTCTAAACCTACTCTGATACCATGTTAAATTTGATGTATGGAAAATTAGAGAGAATGAAATATGTATTGATGATTGATATTATTGATTGATGAATTGATGTTGATATATTACAACTCCTATATAACTCCTATATATAGAAGAGAAGATGGTAGTGGAGTGTGTGATAGTGGAGGTGGATGGTAGTGGAATGTGTGATAGTGGAGGTGGATGGTAGTGGAGTGTGTGATAGTGGAAGTGGTAGGTGTGGAGAAAGATAATGGAGGTGGTAGGTGTGGAGAAATTCTAACATGTACTATGTAAATTAATTAGATTATTTAACTTGATTATTTATGTACTATCTTTTATGAGAGGTATAAACGATTCAATTTTTTTTATAAATTTTAGGCATTAAAATTTAAATGAAACATTTTTATATATTTTATACATCTTAATGTTTTAATTTAAAACTTGTTTTTATCGCTTTGTGTGCAATACTAATAATTAAATTTTTTGACATTCAAGTTTGTTAATATATTATTTTGATTTTTTCTTCTAAAATAAATAATAAAATTACACAAGGATAAATAAATGCAACATCTAGGGTAAATTACAATTTATTCCGATCAACTATTGCTCTGTATTACCTTACCCTGTTAACTAAAAATTGTAATATTTCACCTCTATCATTTATGAATTTTTTTCAATTTAAACCTTTATGACACAAATACCATTTCTACAATACAATAATTTACACCTTACCTCCTTGAACTAATTACCTAATATCACTTTACCTTCCCTACTAAAAAATACTCGTATTTTTTTTCACATTAAACTATTAATTTGTATCAATGTAAACATTCTATTAAGAACGTGGTTTATAAATAAATGAAAACTTGACATGTGAGTTACACATGACATCCCAAGTGGAATACTTAAAATGATATTATCAATTTATTTGATTTAATTTTTAAAAACTATTTTTGAGTTTTTTAGGCTTTTTTTTTTTTTTTTAATCTTTAGTGAACGTTTTTCATAATGAAAAAAAAAAAAACTTTGTGAGATACTTTTTTCATTAAGATTCAAATTGATAGAAATTAATAGATGAGAGAGTTGAGTATTATAATTTTTTAGTTAAAGTAATATGGAACAATCTTTGAGAGGGTTAAAATTTAATTTGCCCTTGTTTATATTAAATGGATAAATGCATGGGTAAATTACAATCATACCCCTTGAGATTTGTTTAAAATATGAATTATTTCATATAGTTCTGAAAATTACATATCTCTTTTTCCAATTTCAAATCACATAGCAAATTACCCATTTTATTTATAAATCATTAAGTCAATTAATAGTTTTAATAATGTCACAAATATTTTTTAATTAATAATTTTATTGTTGAATAGTAGACATCAATTAAAAAATATGACAAGGGAAATATTTATATAATTTCTAGAATTAAAGAGAATAATTTGTATTTTAAACAAATTTCATGGAGTGTATTTGTAATTTATCCTAAATACATTAGATAGAGATAAAAAACAAAGAATTATAAATAATATTAGAAGAAAGGGCAAAATAGAAAAATAAAAATACAACCCTCAACCTCTCTTGTAAATAATACCAAAAGAAAGGGTAAAATAAGCAAAGGAAAAAAAGAAAAAGAAAAAAAAGAGCAACAGAAATGCTAGAGATTCTTATATACGTAAAAGTTAAATTAATAGTTAAATGAACCAAGTTTTAACAAATTTTAAAATTCGTCAAAATTTTTAAATTAAACTTGAATAGTTAAAATGCTGATAAAAATTACAATTAAAACATTTTTTTTATACGTATTAGTTATGAGTTTGGATTCTCTAAAGTAATTTTGATTTTTTTTGTATGACCGGTATTTAATTGTACAAAAATAATAAATATAGTAGTGTAAAGTTGAAATTATAACAATCATACAAATAATCACTCTAACATCACTTTTAAAAAATAAATAAAGTCAAAAAAATCTTCATTTTGAACTATTAGGCTATTAACAATGAACCAAAATTCTTATATAATTTCCAAAAGCCCACCACCCCAATTATTTCACCAACAACGCTAACGGGTAAAATAGAAGATTCAAAAATAAGCTAAGGGCAAAATCGGCAACTCAAGACAACCTTCTCAACCAAAGCAATCAAAATTTCTTACATAATTTCCAAAAGGCCACTACCCAAATTGTTTCACCAAGCTAAAGGGCAAAATAACAAATTTCAAAACAAGCTATGGGCAAAATTGGAAGTAAAAAAAACAACTCCCACGCAGGAAAGTGATTAATTTCCAAAAGGCCACTATCCAAATTGTTTCACCAAGCTAAAGGGCAAAATAACAAATAAACTAAGGGCAAAATAAGAATAAAAAAAACAGCCCACAAGCAGGAAAGTGATTCTTATATTTATATATATATATATATAGATATATATATTAAGGTAAACTATAATTTTAACTTCTGAAATTTAACTCAAATTTTACTTTAATTTTTATTATTTCAAATTAAATAATTTGGTCTTTATTTTTTAAGTCAAGTTGCAGTTTAGTCATTTCATTAAAATTAAAGATTAAAATTAATTATTTTAGAACGCTAGTCAATCTCGTAAGGTGTACACGTAGAAGGATATAATAGAAATTTAGACGGAATGATTAAATTGAAATGAAATTTAAAGTGTAGAGATTAAATTATTCACAATAAAATAATAGGAATCAAAATGAAATTAAGTCAAATCATAAAGGTGAAAAGTGTAATTTACCTTTTCTTTTAATATTATTCACATGCGTTAATTACATTTAATATCTTATTATTTTATTGAAATTTTATTTTAGTCCTTCCATTTTACTTGTAGCACATCCTTTACACATTTAAGTCAAGGTAAAATATTACTGCTCTATGCATTTAATGTTGATGAGGATGATGAAAATTAACATGTACATGCAACATTTTTCAAGAAAAATAAAAATGAAAGTAGAGTAATAATATACAACGAAAAATTCTTACAAAATTTTTATACGTAATAATGTGGCTTAATATAAACCATTCCCTTTACTAAAATGATATTGTGTTTTTTATATGAATTTTATGTATGCATAACATTTTCCATGAAAGTATAGTAATTGGTTGCACTTAAACTTGTGACAATCAGGTTGTGAACGCTTGAAAAAAATAAATAAATAAAAAGAAAAAGAGAGAAGGCACTATGCATGATTGATAAAAACTACCATAAAAGCAAATTGAAGTGTAAATGATAGAAGAAATGAATCTAAATTTTTACTTTTCCTTTATTATTTTTTTAGGTTGGGCCTATGATTACAAGCCAATCTGTGCCTGGCCAAAACATTGTCCTTGTAAGACCAAGAACTTTAGGTCAAACAAATCCTAAAGGTACATGTTATACACATATCATCTAATATTTCAATTTCTTACTCGTTTTGCTCCGTAAAGTTTAAACCATTTACTTTCTCTTAATACTAATTGTATTTTTTTTTTTTTTGGACACCAGCTCTGTATAGGATTGTGAATAAACCATAATTAGATTGCTTGGATAAATTGTTGAACTTACATATATATTTGATGTTCTTGTAATTGGCATACGTGAGTTTCAGTTTTACTTTCCATATAACTTTTAAGTCATTTTTTGCAAATTAGAACACAATGGTCTAGTTCCAATGGAAGGTGATGAGAAGATTTTTGAAGAAGAGGCAGCTTGCAAATTTTGTTTTGTCATTTTGAAAAAAGAAAATATACTCAAGACGGAATGTAAATGCAGTAACGCCCTCATCCATGAAGAATGTGCAGCTAAATGGTCAAGAACAAGAGGTTACAACAATTGTGATTCTTGTGGACAAATGGTTCAGACTTTTCCTGTTACTTTGGTTAGAGGGCTGAGTAGTTCTACTCAAGTGGTTGATAGAGAAGAGAGCAATAAATGGAGCTTGTTTTCATGGTTGATGAGGTAAATCCAATTTTGCAAGTTATCATCATATATGTAGATCAAATTGACAATAAAAGTGATACAAAGTGCAGTAGAAGTAGTAGGAGTTGAGGTTGATAAATTGATTATGACATATGATTTAACTTCTTTTCAGGTTGGGTTGGGATCATAGATTTGGATAGGGATTTCACCCATGTCATGATTTGTTGCAAACTACACCTCATAGTTTGAACTTTGTTTGTGTGCGTGCCTTGTATTATGTGGGACTATACAATTATTGCTTTTTTCTATCGCTGTATTTGGTTAAGGGATTTGGAAAAAAAAAATGAAAAAGGTGTGTGAAATTATGTGAAATATAAGTATATTTTATTTACATTTCATCTACTTTTTTCTTTTTTCTTTTCTCTTTTCTCTTTCCAAATCCTTTCCTAAATTTCCCAACCAAACACAGTGTATATGTATTTGGATTAGGTTGTGAAATCCGGAATGTGTTTTGTCTTTTAACAATTGAGTAAGACTAGAATTCATTGGTTGGTTGATAAATAGCAACTTTGGGAAATTATCTCTTACGGTACAGAGCAAGTGCAGAATCATTTAAATCTGTGTGCATTTTTCTCTATGGTGTGTGGAGATGTGCTTCCATTCACATTCGTGGAGTGGGATGTAAAAATCCCAAAACTTCTTGTCTATGTCAAAGTCGTATCAACGTGAGTCATAGGCCTCAATTTGTAAGGGCCAACTTCAAATCACTCTGTTCTAATAGTTGTTTGTAGATTTACATTCCTTTATTTCCTTCCATGATTCCTTTTATCAAGTTTTTGTTATATATTCTGACATATATATTTGCATTCTTGGTAGGATTTGGAAGGCTTGAATATCTCAATATTGT